GTATCTTCTTGAGCAAATCATTTCGTTTATTTTTGTTTTAGTGTTATTTAATTATATTCCATTTGAAGTTTTATGTATGTACATTTTAGTTTTACATTTTTTTTTTGAATTGAAGAAAATGGAGAAAACTACCTCTCCATCTTGTATAAATTGTTTTACTTGAGCCAAATGGAAATCGATTGTTATAATGGGTTAGTAGGTATGATAATATTCTGCACCTACTGATTTAAAATTTGGATCCACATGTGATTAACAATCTTAGTGTCACGGAGGCGTTTTTGGTCAGTCCAAAGTCACAACCGTGTGGCAGTCAAGTCACGCACTTGACTCAGCCTTTCCTAAACACTTAGCCAAATTTCAGCAAGTTTGGCCCTTAACGAATTTTTGGCAGCAATTCAATAAGAACACAAGCAAATACGGGAAAATCCCAACCTTTGCATTAATTTCGAAAATATACAAAGGACCCCTCACTTTGCTATGAACACAAGTTGTTCACAGCCCACTTTTGACAAAGAACACAAGTCGTTCTTGGCCAACACTAAGACCTGCCCAAGCCTAGCCTTAGTCCCTTTTGAAACACTTTGAAATCCTCACGTTTCACTCTTGTTTCCCACTTAGAATTTCACACGAAATTCCCCCACATCCATCTGACTAAGTCCAAAGGTCCTATTTATAACATATAGGCAACCCTTAGGACTTGACAACACATTGACACTTGTTGTCTACAACTTTTGCCACTTGTCGGGCTAATGCTAAATCTGTTCCTAACATGTAGTTGACATCCCCAACTACTTAGGCCATGTTGCACGAAATGGGATAATGGATACAAGCATAATCAGTCATGGGAAGTTATGGGTACAAGTGGTTAAGAAACTATAACCGCCAACTACTTTGGCATGTGCCTTGCATGTGCCCTTTGACTTGATCAGCTATGCTTCACGCCCAAGGCTTGCTTTGTTCCAAGCCTTAGCTCATTTTGACATTGCTCTGCACCAATGTCTTGCCCGCAACCTGTCGCCATGATTTGCTGCACACGCTCGACGCCACTGCCGCCCGCACACTGCCTTGGTCGAGTTTCTGCCTTGCCCATGTCAAACTTCGTTTTCCTCGTGCCATTGCTTGTATTTTCCTTCACATATCCTTGCCTTAGCTATTGAAAGCCTTTTCCATCATCCCGCAGTTCCGTCTTGCCTTAGCTTAGCCCGCACTTAGCTGCCACAACCAAAGTGCCCGTGCCACAGACTTTTGGCGTGCATGCCATGCCATGCGGCCCCAACTTAGCCCACACTGCCTTGTCAAGCCTTTGCCAAGCATGTCTTGCCTGTCCCAAGACCTTGGCTAATACTTTCCCACAACAGCCCTCAATGACAATGTCTTGTCCGTCGCCCGCATGATCGTTTTGCCCGTACATAGGCCAATGACAAGGTCATCACGCCCCAATCCTTACCACAGCCGTGCCATGCCCGATGACAAAGAGTTAGGTCCTAACAAACTACCCGTACCCTTTAAAATCGATGTCCTCGTCGAGCCAACTCAATTAATCAGCCCCACGAGGTTGTTGACAAACAACAACCCTGTTGCTCCATTCACATCTGCCATAATGGCATTTGCCTCCGCCACTTGTTCCTGTTTTTCCGCAGCCAGCATAGCATTCATCCTAGCCTGCATCGGACAGTCCTTCTTCAAGTGCGGTCCACCACAAGTAAAGCAGCCTTTGAATTTGCACTCATTTCCTTGCCGTTGTGAATCTCCTTTCTCATATTCTTGGCAAGTCCCTCATCTTCGGCAGCTTGGCCTTTCCCGTTTTTCTTCCATTCCCTTGCTTTGTCTTTCCTTCCATTGGACTTTGAATGCGAAGTTTCAGCATACTCATCACCTAAGTTTAAGTCAACCAACGCATCTACCACTGCAATGACAGTAGAGAGGCTTTGAACATTCTGCCTTCTCAACTCCAATTGCGCCCAGCCCTTCAATCCACTCATGAAGTAATGTAGCTTGTCTTTCTCTGCCATATTACTTACATTCAGCATCAAGGATGAAAATTCCTTGACATACTCCCTTACTGTGCCACTTTATTATTTCAAGCGATGCAATCCATCTTGTGCAACCCATGACGAGTTAGTTGGAAGGAATTCGGATTTTAACTCCTTCTTCAACATCTCCCAAGTTTCAATCTTGGGCAGTCCAGCACTTGCCACTTCTACCACTCGTGTACGCCACCACACTTTTGCATCATCAGTCAAATACATTGGTGTGATCATTACCTTTTCATCATCCGGAACACGAGCAGCCTGGAAATACTGCTCCATATACCACAAGAAATTTTCCATTGCTTTGGCACTTCTTGCACCCCCATATGCCTTTGGCTCCGGAATCCTCAACTTTGTACGTTCATCACTTCTAGGGGCAGCAGTTTGTAATGCCCTTCGAAGTTGAACCACTTCCTCGCGCAGTTCTTCCTTCTCCTTGCATACCAAGGCCATTTCTGCCAGCGTAGTTTCATACCTCGCCGCATAATCTGCCTCTAAATGTGCCATTCTCGCAAGAACACAAAAATCACCATCTACTTCAAGAGACTGGCCAACGAGTGCTTCCAACTGCTCCACCCTTTGATGCAGTTCAACATTTGTGCACCGGCCATGTTCTCAAATAGCACCACAAAATCTGCCACCGGTCATCTTGCCACGAACCTGCTCCGCTTTGATACCAGTTGTCACGGGGGCGTTTTGGTCAGTCCAAAGTCACACCCACGCGGCAGTCAAGTCACGCATTTGACTCAGCATTTCCTAAACACTTAGCCAAATTTAAGCAAGTTTGGCCCTTAACGAATTTTTGGCAGCAATTCAATAAGAACACAAGCAAATACAGGAAAAATCCCAACCTTTGCATTAATTTCGAAAATATACAAAGGACCCCTCACTTTGCTATGAACACAAGTCGTTCACAGCCCACTTTTGACAAAGAACACAAGTTGTTCTTGGCCAACACTAAGACCTGCCCAAGCCTAGCCTTAGTCCCTTTTGAAAAACTTTGAAACCTTCACGTTTCACTCTTGTTTCCCACTTAGAATTTCCCACGAAATTTCCCCACATCCATCTGACTAAGTCCAGAGGTCCTATTTATAACATATAGTAAACCCTTAGGACTTGACAACACATTGACACTTGTTGTCTATAGCTTTTGCCACTTGTCGGGCTAAGGCTAAATCTATTCCTAACATGTAGTTGACATCCCCAACTACTTAGGCCATGTTACACGAAATGGGATAATGGATACAAGCATAATCAATCATGGGAAGTTATGGATACAAGTCGTTAAGAAACTAGAACCGCCAACTACTTTGGCATGTGCCTTGCATGTGCCCTTTGACTTGGTCAGCTGTGTTTCACGCCCAAGGCTTGCTTTGTGCCAAGCCTTAGCTCATTTTGACATTGCTCCGCACCAATGTCTTGCCCGCAACCTGCCGCTATGATTTTTCCGCACACGCCCGACGCCGCTACCGTCCGCACACTGCCTTGGTCGAGTTTCTGCCTTGCCCATGTCAACATTCATTTCCCTTGTGTCATTGCTTGTATTTTCCTTCACATAGCCTTGCCTTAGCTATTGAAAGCCTTTGCCATCATCCCGCATTTCCGTCTTGCCTTAGCTTAGCCCGCACTTAGTTTCCATAACCCAAAGTGCCCGTGCCACTGATTTTTGGCGCGCATGCCATGCAATGCCGCCCCAACTTAGCCAACACTGCATTGTCAAGCCTTTGCCAAGTATGTCTTGCCTGTCCCAAGACCTTGGCCAATACTTGCCCACAACAGCCCTCAATGACAATGTCTTGTCCGTCGCCCGCATGATCGTTTTGCCCGTACATAAGCCAATGATAAGGTCATCACGCCCCAATCCTTGCCACAGCCGTGCCACGCCCGATGACAAAGAGTCAGGTCGTAACACTTAGTATACTAGGATTGTTCAATTAATTTTTAGCTTTTTGAGATTATAAGCACGTTTCAACCAAATTATCTTTGATTGAACTTAATTTATACTAATTGTTAACTATTTGCTCAATAATCTTTCATCTCTTATGCCTCTGTCAACAACTATTCACTATCAACAACAACTAATTATTAAGAAGAGGAGAATTCTATATTTACATTTTTGGCAGTTATGATTAATTAACTATTCTCCTTTCCTTTGGTATTCCTTTATACTATCTTCAGTCTCTAAATTAAAAAGAGAACCTTAAATAAAGAATATAAAACTAATACAAATTGTTTCACGTATTGATATTTAAAAATGTAATGATAGCCTATACAGTTAAAAACCACAGTAATTCATTGAGCAAGAAATAGCTAGAAACAACAAGTTTGTATAATTATTTTTTCAACTACTTAGATTTTCTGAACTTCGCCAGTGTGGGCTTGCTCACATTGCCGGTCCCGAGCCTAAATAAAAGAGGGTTACGGTAAGTTGGTAGCCAGCGTAAAACTTGCGAATTCATGATGAATCCTCATAATACATACGAGTTGAGCTAAATAAAAGGAATGAGGACTCTTATCGCCGATCCCAACTTGTTTGGAGCGTAGCAGTAGTTGTTGTTGTATTTAGATTTTCTGACACGACTCATCTGCATAAATTGTCTAGTGCGTGTTAGGATGGTATAATTTTTTTTTTCAAATTTAATAATTCAAGTTATTTAAATTTTTTCTCAGTGTATAAACGTTAAACTCCTTACACCAGAATAAATTAAATTACAAGAAAAAAAAATTAACACAAAGAGAGTGAGAAAGTGCTCATCTAACAGAGATATTTTCTTGTTTTTTTAGACGCTCTTATCATAACAAACAAACGTCTCTCTTTCTCATGCATGCATTGCTTTTCACCTACCTATTAATTTTCTGTATTAAAAACTACAATCCTACCCGCAAACACAACTATACCACACAAAAGGGCAGATTTTCAGATCAAAGAGAAAGTGTGTTTTAATTCCTTCTTTTTAGCTACGTAGTTTGTGTTTGTTTCTTCTTAATCAAAAGTTCAGAAAAACATAGTAAGACTTTCCTTTGAGAATTTGCTGAAATGTGATTCTTGAAAACTTGGGAACATATTGGATAATGAAAACATCATCAGTTAAACATAGCTATCAGCTGAAGTTAAATTATTTTGTAGCTTTTGCTTTTTTACTTTTTATGCTTTTAATTTAGTATCTCTTTTGTTGTCATCCTTGTTTTCTTTTGTTTTGTTTAGTTAAAAGGAGCAACATGATCTGAATTATAGCCATTAGCAACTTAAAAAAAGCCTCAATCTTTACATTAAGGCAGGTTTTTCTCATTCCTTGCATCTTTATCTTTGTTTTGAGTTGTGAATATACTTGAAAAAGACAGTGACTTCATTAATATATATGATGATTTCATAAGCACTGTCAGAAGTTGACAAACACTTTTCACTTTAATATTTTGTTTTGATCTGCTGATGAAAGTACTTCATTCTTTTGCCAAATCACTTTGTCCTTCCATCCTATTTAATTTCAATCTTTGTTGTTTTTCTCCCAAATAGGAAACATGGAACTCATGCATCTAATGGAGAGGCTTAGGCCTATTATGGGCTTAAAAAACTGGGATTACTGTGTTTTATGGAAGTTGAGTGAAGATCAAAGGTACATGGTCTCTGATCTAAATGAAACTTTTTCTTGCCCCTGCTTCATCCAGGCGAATACAAGATTTAGAATCAGTAGGTTCAAAACAGCGTGGTTTCATTATATGTATGCATTCTTAATGCTTTATTGCATATGTATACATAGTAGGAGCGGAGAGCAGTAGGTTTAGTTGAACCTACTGGACCTGTTCTAGATCGGCCTTTGCCTCCCTTCCCACCACCCCAACCAAAAAAAAAGGGGGAAAAAAGAAAAAAAGGCTCTTTTGTAATTATGTTGTGGATTATGTGTCATGTAGGTTTCTTGAATGGATTTGTTGCTGTTGTGGTGGAGCTGAGCAAAATATGCATAGCTGTGAACAAGAGCTACTTTTCCCTGATTCTTCTACCTCACCTTGTAGAGATGTTATGTTTCAGCATCCAAGAACAACTGCTTGTGATTTACTGGCTCAGCTGCCTTCTTCTCTAGCACTAGACTCCGGGTACAATTTTGGACTATTCCTTCCTCCTATCTCTCAAAAAATTTCCAATAAAGAATAGACCGGCGCAGTAAGCTCTAGCTATGCGCAAGATCCGGGAAAGGGTCGAATCACATTGTATTTATTGTACACAGCCTTACTTTGCATTTGTGCGTGTTGGTTTCCAAATTCCTAAAGGAAAAAAAAAACCTCTCAAGTGTCAATTTTTCCAATAATTATTTCTAACTTTTTGCAATAAAATTGCAATAAAATTGCAGGATTTATGCACAGGCCTTGCTTTCTAATCAAGCAAAATGGGTGAACTTTGTACCTTTCTCAGAATCAAATGTGTCTAATGTAAGTCTTGATTTCTTTACTGTTAATTATAAACCTCCATTTGAAGCACCTGATTTCTGTACAAAATGTTGTTTGATTCTAATTGCAGGAAATAATTGGAACCAAAGTTTTGATTCCATCTCCTCTTGGATTGCTTGAGTTATTCGGTGCCAAACAAGTAAAACATATGCTTCCTCCCTCCACCCTCTTATTCACTTGTTGCTACTTTTCTTCCTTCTACTTAGTGTAAATTCCACCAATATTATGTCAAAGGAGTACAATTTGATTTAACTTATTCAAATAAAAGCCTTGTATATTCTTTGGTAAGTTGCAATAATGTCATGTACTGTCTAATCACCTTTTCCCAGTACTTTTTAGGCTTCCGTCTGCCCCTCCTCTGACCCGCCATGGTCGACCTCTCACACCTTCTAACCCGCATATCAGTGTCTCTCGAGAGGAAGGTGTGAAGGTCGAGAATTAGGATTGTGGGTTGACAAGTAGTCGACAGTTTCTCCTAGTCTTACCGGTAGTATTAGTACTACTCTTGTATTTTCCTATTCGTAGTTCCTTGTTATAACACGTATATCATTTTTATCAGTAGTATTGGTACTATTCTTGTATCTTCGTATTCGTAGATCTTTGTTATTACACGCTGTGCCATTTGCTTCTGTTGTCCTATTACCTTGTTGTTGCTATTGTTTGTTTGTTGCTTCCTTTTCACTATTCTTGAGTGATTTATTAGAAACAATCTCTCTATCTTCATAAGGTAGGACGAATATACATTATCCTCCCTGAACCCCACTTGTGAAATTTCACTGGATTGTTGTTATTGTTGTAAATAATAGCCTTGGATAAACGACTAACGTTACCACTATTAAAAACTTTGACAGCTACCAGAAGATGAGAAAGTCATAGACTTTGTCTCAACTCAATGCAACATCTACTTGGAGCAGCATAAATTCCCATCAAATGGAGATGACAATACAAATTCCCAAAATCTTTATCAGCAAATAGTCTCCCCTGTTACATCAAGAGACCATTCAGATCAATTATCATATGATTTCCCTCTTAAAAGAAAAAACCTGGATACTTCTTCAATGAACTTCCTTCCACATTTCAATACTTACAACACCTCAGAAATCGAAAACAACACAACGACAATGTTATTCGATCAGAACACAAGCGATGTGACACATTTTTCAACTTCAATGGAGAATAAGTACATGAGTGAAATGGATGCTTATTTACAGAAGCAAATGATGAGAAATAGTAGTAATCAAACTGGATTAATTGATGATGAATCTGTTAAACAACATGATAATGGAAGATCTAATTCGGGATCGGATAGTGATCAAAATGAAGATGAAGATGATCCTAAGTTTAGAAGGAGAAATGGAAAGGGTCAATCCAAGAATCTTGTGGCTGAAAGGAAAAGAAGGAAGAAACTTAATGAAAGGCTCTATGCTCTTAGAGCTTTGGTTCCCAAAATTTCTAAGGTAATATTAATGTAATCTTAGTTGATAAAAAGCACATATGCTAGTCTTGTAGAAATGTAGGGTAAGGCTGCCACCCTTGTGGTCCGACCCTTCTTCAGACTCCGCGTATAGCAGAAACTTAGTGCACCGGGCTGCCTTTTTTGGGTCCTTGTTTGCAACATAACTATATACATGTTAGAATTCTTGATTGGTTAATAATTATCGTCAAAATTATGTATACAGTTGGATAGAGCTTCAATACTTGGAGATGCTATTGAATATGTGATGGAATTGGAAAAGCAAGTGAAAGATCTACAGCTTGAGCTTGAAGAACATTCAGATGATGATCAGGGTGGTAGGAATCAGAACCAGGTTCAGCCTGAGGTTTTAGGCCAAAATGGAAGTGATCAAAATAACAGGCCTAAATCAGAAAATGTAAAACTTTCAAATGGAAGTCATACAGGAATATCAGCTAATTCCAATGGCAGCATTGATCCTTCTAGACAAAATCAAGAGGTAGAAGACAATGACAAACTGCAGCAAATGGAGGTACAAGTTGTTTATTTATAGACGGATTTAACTTATAAACACTGATAGCAGTACTATATTTCTTATATAATCAACATATAGTTGTTACTGCTTTTTTCATAGCTTCCCCGTTATTGTATTTCTTTTTAATTATGTTGTGACTATGCTTTTCTTGAGCCGAGGGTCTATCGTAAACAACTTCTCTGCCTAAGGAGGGATAAGGTTTGTATACACACTACCTTCCCCAGACCCCATTTGTGGAATTATACTAGGTTTATTGTTGTTGTATATTATTAGGATATACTAACTTGTTCAGGGTTTTTTTCCCGGTAACATGATAATGTAATTTTTTTCGCACTGTTAGTGCATAGAGGTTAAACTCCTTATAAATAGAAGTTTTTTTATTTTCAATTATGTCTACAATGGTATGAATGCAAGATATATTTATTGATATGCAGCCACAAGTGGAAGTAGCACAATTGGATGGGAATGAGTTCTTTGTGAAGGTGTTTCGAGAGCACAAGGCAGGTGGATTTGTGAGGATATTGGAGGCTTTGAACTCATTGGGCTTGGCGGTTACAAATGTAAATGCAACTAGGCATACTTGTTTGGTATCAAGTATCTTCAAAGTAGAAGTAAGTCAAACCTATTCTTCAACAATTCTCACTCCCACCCCCTACTCCACAACCTAAAAAGAAAAGAAAAATTAAGGTCTACTTTAGGAAAAGTATTAACAAAAAAAATACTATAACATGTTGGAGGAATTTCTCATACTTTACATAAACCCTTTTTATTGTACTTCTTCCATCTCAAATATTAGTCGTTTTGTGAATTTATTCTAAAATATTTGTAATTAGAAAAAAAAACAAAACGCATATATTACTTTTTTCCAGATTTTCCCTCTCCGTTCCACTTAATGAAGTGTTAAGTAAGTGGGACGTTTAACAACGAGATAAATTAGTAAAAATAGCACGGTATAATCAGTTTTCGGACTGATCATTCAAAAATAGGCAGCGTTTACGAAGTCAATGAAAAATAGTCAATATTTTGCTACAACAGAGACTAGTCTAGCATAATATACTGGAGTTCGGTGCACCTGTGTATGAACTCCAACATATTATGCTGGACCGATATACTTTGCTGACTCCAGTATAATATACTCCAAACTCCAGTATATTATACTGGACAATTATACTTGCTGGAAGTCCAGTATATTATGCTGGAGTTCTAGTGTACTTATGCTGGAACTCCATCATATTATGCTTATGCTGGAACTCCATCATATTATGCTGGAGTTCCAGCATACTTATCCTGGAACTCCAGTATAATATGCTGGAGTTCAAGCATATTTATGCTGGAACTCCAGTATAATATACTGGCGTATTTTCTGAGTTTTGAACAGAGTTTTCGCTAAGATTTATCTTTACATGAAAAGTAGCTAAATTTCAATTACTTTTGAAACTGAGCTATTTTTGAACGACCAGTTATAAATCTGGCTATTTTTTGAATTTCTCCCGATAAATTAATGGTAGTTGAGGCAAATACTCTTATGATTAAACCATTACCTTAAAAGACAAATATAATATTAAAAGCAAAGGTAATACTTCCTTAACATTAATATGCAAGCTTAAACGGCATTCCTTCACATTTTTCAAGTTTTAAATTTTTTCTTCTTGTTTTCATTAATATTGAGTATGAAAATTGTATGTAAACCAGAAAAGGGACAATGAAATGGTTCAAGCTGATCATGTGAGGGAGTCCTTGCTAGAGCTGACAAGAAACCCTAGTAAAGGGTGGTCTGAAATGGGTAGACCATCATCAGAAAATAATGCAAATGGAAGTACAAATTATCTCCATAATAATCAACATCAGCACCACCTTGAGAATAATCACCAGAAGCAAGCTGCCAATTCTCATCACTTCCATCGACACCATCACATGTAATAACCTAGTAATATTTGTAACGTACGTGCTTTTTTAGCGCGTAAGTACTCCTTATTTAGTTTCAATATTTTGCAAAATAAGACAGATTTGTTAGAACTTGTTAATCTCATCGGTGCTCTTTAACATGCTAGTATAAAATTGCTAGTCTTCATATTTATAGAAGAAGGATTATAGCAAATTGTTTAACTCCCTCTTTTCCGATTTACAACGGGGTACGGAAGTTTAAGATTTTCTTTTTTGAAACTTGTGATCTAAAACAAGTCATATACAAAGTGCCTCTAAATTATCTCATTAAGAGTAAAATAATATGATATTTTTTTTGGAACAAATTAAAAAGGAAAGTATGCCATATAAATTGGGATGAAAGGAGTATTAATTAAAGTTAAAATTATGTGGATTTTATATTTCTCCATACCGGCCAATTATAGGATTAGTTTTGACTTTAGCTTGTTAAAATTCTAACTTTTGAATCCAAATAGATTTTAAACCAGTTTGGTTTTTGATATTAGTGCTTTAACAATCATGAATTCTTACTACAAATAATGAATACAGTTATGATATTCCTCATATTTTATTACATTTTAATCAATGATCAACTTGTTCTTGTACGTTGTGATCATAGTAATCTCTTTCTATTTATGATATGCTACTTGCTGAAACAGAAGTTTATACTGAAATTATTAGTCACTGTTTCAGAGACGATAATTCCTTTTACTCACCTTTTAGAGATGAATGTTGGGCTTAGCTCATCTAAGCTAAAGTTTGTTGAGAAATTTTCATAAAGCACTGTTTTTAGTAGTAATTAGTCATTTATAGATACCGTTTGTTATATTACGTGTTATAGATATTTTTTACATGTATTTGATGTATTTACCTAATGTATTCATGAATACAATAGCAAAAATAGGCGTAAATCAGGGAAGTCAACTAATCTTCAGATGTATTCAACTGTATTTACCAGGTGTATTAAAAAATACAGTAACGTTTTAGCATAAAATATGGACCTTTCAACTGGTTTAAAACGGAAAGGAAATCAATTTACCTGATATTCTCCTAATATAACTCAACTAACACAAACTATTGCACCATAAATCTGTATTCCTCCATTCACGAAAGTTTTTCAATCGGAAAAAATAACCTAAAGCAGAGCAACATCTGGATTTTAAGTTCTCCCTTTTTTCTGTAGTTCCAGTGTGCACCCAGTTCTATTTTCAACAACGAAAAGTTGCGATTGATACAATTGTATACATATGGCAAGTTTAACAGTATTGTTTCGGCATTCTGGCAAGTGGAACATTGAGAGCAATTACGTCGATTATTCAATTGAGGGAATACTGATAAAGGAGTATGCATCGTATAATGATTTGGTTGCGTCAATTTCTAATCAACTGGGCATAGATTTGAGCTCAAAACCATTAAAATTCAATACAAAGTAGAAGGAAATTGCACGCCAATGGAAATACACAATGATATGGGTTACAGGGTGTATGTAGAGTTGAAAAAAGAGAACATAGAATTCGGGATGTATCCTTTGTGCATAACAACTATTGAAAAAGAACTTGTATCCGGAGGTAGTTTAATTCAAGGCGACATTGTGCAAATAGACGAATCAGTTCAAAGGTATGATTCCGATACAGATAATACACTTGCACTAGATTTTGTCAACTCAAGACAAGCAATTGGGGTATTCGAACTGGACAAGGATTTGATAATTTCAAAAACTAATCAAAGGGAGGTTATGACTGGACAAGTATATAAGGATAAGGCAACATTGAAAAAGGTGGTGGAGCATTATGATATATCTCAAAGGTTTCAATTCCGGGTTGATAAGTCTAATTATGTCAGGTTTGAGTGTATTTTATTATTCTTTATTTTTTGTCGTATTTTGTATTTATGGTTGGAGTTGTAAGTTATATGTTGATGTGTTTATGCATATTTGTAAGACAATTGATCTTCACTTATGTGGTTAACTATTTTTTTATGGTCTTCAAATACATGTATTCTTGTGTATTTTAATTGTATAAACTTATTACAGTGGCTCTCATTATTTTCCTCATTGGTTTACTAGTTGTATACAAATAACTATAAGTGTATTCAGTTGTATTATTTGCACAAATAAATATAATCGTATTTGTATTCATGGGTATATGAGTGATTTGTTTTGTAAGCATTTATGCTAATCATATGTATAATGATAAATTCTTTGCAGCTATGCATTATTATGTATGTCAAAAGATTGTGAATGGAGGTTTAAGGCTTCGAGCATTAACAAATCAGAACTATTCAAAGTGAGAGAGTTCATTGATAAGCATACATGTCCGTTGAAGGACAAGGTGTATGAGCAGCGACAGGCAAGTAGCAGCCTTATAGGTGGTATAATTAGGCCCAAGCTTACTAATCATAAGAAGAAATACACCACAAAGGATATAATTGATGATGTGAAATCAGATTTAGGTGTAGATGTTAGCTATATGTTGACGTGGCGGGCTAAAGAAAAGGCAATAAATTTTTTGAGAGGTGAACCGGCTGACTCATACAAAAAATTACCAAGATACTTATATACAATGGATAAGACATATCCAGATTCGCACATTAGAATGGTAAAATCGCCCAAAAATGAGTTCATGTATGTGTATATATCTTTGTATGCCTTTATAAAGGGGTTTGATCATTGTAGACCCATTGTGGTTGTGGATGGAAGTCACCTAAAATCTTACTACGCCAGGACATTCGTCTCGACCAGCACGTTGGATGGTGCAGGTGAGTACGTGAATTATAATACATTTTGTTAATATTTTAAAGATTGAAATACATATTTTAAAAATATGTACAATGGATGTATGCAAATCTGGAATCAAAATGTAATTTGTATTCAAATGAAGGCAGCAGTAATGATTAGTAAATTATATGCAACTGTATAATGAATGTAGCAACAACTGTATTCAACTGCATGCAGCAGTAACTGTATGCAGCATTAATTTTTGGTAAATTGTAAACTAGCCAGGATAGAAATAACATGCAATTGTCTTTACAGGTCATATATTGGCACTAGCATATGGTGTTATTGATTCAGAGAATGATGCTGCTTGGACGTGGTTCTTTGAGCAATTCAAGATAGCATACAGTGACAGGGAAAACATGTGCATCGTTTCAGATAGAAATGAGAGTATCATTAAATCTATATCGAGAGTGTATCCAGATGTACCGCATTTTACCTGTATATGGAATATATGGAACAACGTATATAAGAAATTCAAAAAGAGCCATGCAAAGTTGAGCGAGATATACTTCTCGATGGCAAAAGCATACACACAACCTGAATTTGACAGTCTGGTGGAGAAGGTGGAGAAGGTAGATATTAGGGTGAAAGAATACTTGGAGTTAGCTGGATACGAAAAGTGGGCTAGATTGTATGCACCTGTTAACAGGGGATGGACCATGACCTCAAATATTGCTGAGTTAATCAATGCCGCACTAGTGTCAGCGAGGGAATTGCCAATATACGACTTTCTCGAAGAAGTTAGGAAGATGTTTGGACGTTGGAATTGCAGTAACCGCAAAGAAGCTACATAGACTAACACAACGCTTGGAAAAAAATACCAGGAGATGCTGACTTTGAATGAGGCAATGTCTACACGCATGACTGTAAGCTTTATTTTAATGTAATTATATCATATATTTAGCTCTTTCTTTAGATAGCTTAATTTTTTCTGAAATAATATATACCTTTTTTAGGTATATATATTCAGTTGTATTATCATGCAAAGTCCTATAATGTTTTTGTTTCTTTTCAGCTGCCTAAAGTTAACCATATTTTAGATGTATAACAGTGTATTCATAAAATAAGACGTAATTATAGTTTATAGTCTGTCGGTCTACATAAATGATGTATTCTTCTGTATTTAGTTGTATTTAACTGAATAATTCTGCATTATACATACAGAAATTCATTTGTTTAACTGAAATAATTATGTATTATGCATATATGATGCATTATTTAACTTAATAATTCTGCATTATACATACAGAAATATGTTTGTATTCAAAACATATTTGATTTAATTCATACTGTTGTATATTTAATATGTCTATTCTATGGTATATAAATGATTTTTTGTTTATATGTGCTCAAAACTTATAGGTCTATGTTTAAATGTAGGTGGTACCATCGACTGATACTTACATACGGTTACTGATGGAGGGAGGAATTACACTGTCTACCTGTTAGAGAGAAAATGCGTTTGCGGGAGGTTCCAAGTTGATGAGTTGCCATGCCCACATGCTTGGGCTGTATTGAAGAGCAAGTTTCTAATGGCAGAAGATTTGCTCTAACTATTACAAACCAAATTCTATTGTAATGACATACGATGTGCCTGTGTACCCACTACCGGACAGAAATGAATGGAATATATCAGCATATGTTACAGAGGAAGTTGTATTACCACCTAAATGGAAAAGACCTCCTGGAAGGCCAAAGAAGAAGCGCGATAAACCTTTTAGTGAATTGCTATAGCCGAAAAATCAACATTCAATTAGCATATGTGGGTAGAGAGGACATAATAAGTGAACGTGTAGAAATGCTCCACGTAGGATTTAGTTAACACTCTGACATGTATTAGTGCTCCAACGATTTGTCATTACTTCTGATGACATTGTGAAATAAATCATTTTGAACCTTTAAATGAATAAATTCTGGATATAGTTAGTTGTAGTATTGTGTTAAATACATTCGAATACAACCTTTCAACAAATACTTAGACAATCTAGTATATACAGTAGCTGAGTTATATATACATAACCAACCACAATACATCTGAATACAACTATATAACAATTTCAATAAATACATATACAATCTGCTGAATATATAATTATAGCAATTGTATTATTCAGTCTCTGAATTGGATATACAATGCACACGACTAAAGCTTATTACATACTAATATACAATGTTGAATACATACAAAAATACAAATTGTCTTATACATTGTGTCTGCCTTGACTATAAAAATCAAACCAAATGAATACAATTACTTATAGATTTGTATAAGTATGAATATAACCTGCTTAAGTGAAATAAATACATCAAGTTGATTACATACGTATAAACCTGTAACACACAGTTTCTAACTTTGATATACAAGACAAGTGATTGAATCTTAATACATACTTATACGCCCTGTTGAATACATATCAATATATCCTGTAAGATACATACGAATAGAAACTGTAGATTAAGCATGAATACTTATGAACAAAACAATGAAATATAGATTGAAAAGTTGCAATGGTCATATATGAACACTGTTGATAAAGTGATTAAAACATAGTTTTTTCTAACTGAATATCATCTTCACCAAAAAACTATTCAAAAAACAGTATTCACCTAAAACAACCTTCCAAAACTACATTCACCTAAAGCTACTCTAACACTATCTGCAACTTTGAATCTGACTCCGTGATTTGCCTAGCAATCTTTGAGGGTGCTTCATTCTCGCTTATGGCATCAATTTCTATATTCCGCATATCATAGTTCCAGAGGAGAGCACCATATCTTTGACGGAGTAGATTGGCATAAAATGTTATTTGTGGAACCTCACCAAGAGTGCTCAGAAACTCCGCGTATGCAGCAACGTGTACCCCACAATCCTTAAAAAATGTTGATTGAAACAATTAAAAATAATTCATATAATTAGAGTTTTAAAATGATACAAGCATGATAATTGAAGACATACATGTTGCCAGCTTTTTGTTGAGGCAGATTTGATATGAAAACAACTTCAAAGGGATCAGTATGTGACTTGTCAGTGTATGCTGAGTAAGTAGACCAATCTATGCCTTGACTATCTCTGTAAAAGCCACTGATTGATAGATACAGAGGTACAAGCTTAGCAAGCTTATCTATCTCAGAAGCTACATAGGCATCATGACCTGCAGATCTGTATAAGTCATACACTTTGATACATCTCTCCTTGAATGAGACCACAACTAATATCTAGTGTAGTTTGTCCTTCAAGTTGAATGGTATAAAGACATTATCAACAGTATGCCAAGGTACATTAGCTAGCAATTTGTGCCCCTTATGTACTCACATGCCACATCTTCTTCTTTGACTACATTTTCATTACTATCTGTATCAGCATACATGTCGAAGATTTCTGCGATTCTTGTCTTGAATATACAATCAACAGTTGTATACTTGAAGTTGGTTGTTTGGTTGTACTTTCCCTTTTTTCTCAGATAGTAGAATATGACGTTAATATGCTATATAGAAATTTAATAACATAGTGTTAGTACAATGAATAAAATTAAGGAAAAGAAACTAAATTTTCATCATGAATAATCAGTTAAATACATAATACAGATACTATTAAATACATCTGTTATTAAAGCTACTAAGTACTGTTAAAGTACATTTAAATATAGTTAAATACATTTGTTATTCAAGACAAATGAGGCCATTATATACATAATACATATTCAGTTAAATACATCTGTTATTTACAACTACTGAGGACTGTTAAAATACATCTGAATACAGTTAAATACATCTGTGATTAAAGCTACTGAATACAATTAAATACATCTGTTATCAAATCTACTGAATATTGTTAAATACAAATGTTATTAAAGCTACTCGGTACTTTTAAATACACCTGAATACAGTTAAATATATTTGTTATTCAAGGCAAATGAGGCCATTAAATACATCATACAGATTCAGTTAAATACATCTGTTATTTACAACTACTAAGTACTGTTAAAAATACATCTGAATACATTTAAATACATCAGATGTAAAAGATACATCTGAGTACAAATTTGTGTGAGAGCTCAATTTGTGAATTATACAATTAGACAAATCAATCCTAAAGAAATGAATTATAGCAGAGTTGGAAAGGTTAAAATTTACATTGTCATCCCATAGTTTACCGACAAACGATAGAAGGTAAAACCAATTTTTTGAATTGACTTGATCAACTCTAAAATCCAATGGTATATGAAGTGTTGACTTGTTCTTCTTGTAATGATATTCCAAATTACTTCTACAAGTATGATATAAAAAACATTATATCCATTTTAAATATATAAATACATAATAGACATACCGGGGAAAAAACTCACTTCTGTTCATGTCTAGCGAGAAGACCATCACGAACCCATTTCTCGTATTCCTGAATGATTAATGTAGGATGTGGTCCCGTTATTGAATCATCCTCAAAAGGGTGTCTTTTTTCAAATATGGGGGTCAATTTTACTGAGGTGCCTGTTGTTCATTGAATTCATGAATAGAGACTAAACATTATAAATACCATGGGGAAATAGATCATAAGTTTATAAAATACTAACCTGCGGAGTCGAAGTTAGACTCGTAAGGCGAAGAATACCATATACTTGGTCGCCTATTCCTATGAGATGGTAATGGGGTTGATTCAATATTTTTTGCACTATTGTGTACCACAATTCTAGTTTTTGGAATTTGACTTGGAAGAAACTTGTCGTCCAGCTCAAATTGCGATACATAGTAATCTGTAGATACACCCTCTTGGCCTATATGTGGTATGTTGCCGGGTACCTCCAATCTAGTATTCCCCACCACTCTTGACTCCACAAAAAGAGCACTAACCACTATATTCTGTTAGACGTATACATCAATGTTAGTGTATTATAAATGACCTATATACATATAGTAACTGACTGTATGAATACATCTAAATATATATAAATAGAATACATATTTGATCTTGAATTTGTATTTTGTTGAAGCTGTATTTAAGAGGAGAATTTAAATACATCAGACTACATGTTAAGAATACATCTAAATACATATAAATACAGTTGTATTTGAGGCAGTATTTAAATGCATCCAACTACTGTGTAATAACATTACACAGTATAGAGGAAGCTTAAATATATACAAGTATCATATTTTGATATACATGAATACATCTATATACAACATGCGAAGATCACAATAATTATGTATTAATAAAGTCAGGAAAATACAAATGCATATAGGATTAAGATAATTAAAAATACTGAAATATTCTGTATGTACTTGTATTTCATAATGTTACAAATTGTTTTATATATAATTAATCTGAGTAAGAGCAAACAGGAGATTTAAACATATACTAAAGAGGTTAAAAAATGTTAAACCTCAACATTATCGCCGACAGCTGTATCAGTCTATCTATGACCTTTTGGTATATCTTGCAAGATGGCACATATGGAATTTCAATACTATCATCACGTCTCCCTATGGTTTCCTTTCTCTGGTGTAAGCTTTCTTTTTGCTGATTGTCTTGAAGATGGTCAGAAAGCTTCTTAAAGTTATCGTTGATCAATGATCTCAGAGACTTGAACTCACCCATAACCTTAGCAAGACAGAAATAATTAGAAAAGTGCGCCAAAAATATACGAATGTTAAGCACTACACTGTAATGTTTAATAAGTGGATAAAAAACTCACGTATTCTTTGAATGAATTTAGGTCTTTCCTCAAAGAAGAAACTTCATCATTTTTGGAATCTGCCGGCAGATTATGATGTAAAATATTTTGTGCAATTTCAG